TTATATTCCCAACTGTATCAAAGGATTCACATCCTAAATTACTATATCATAACTATCTAAAAGCAGCATAATGCCTTACAACTGTGGGAGAGGCGGATGCTCCCGCTGTGAACCAGACCTAAAGACCTAAAGGCCAAACAAATGCTAAACGAGTAGCACCTGGGATTGATATTCTGACTGGGTATCAATCACCTGGAAAGACCCAAGTGAGTCACTAGCCCAACCCCCAACAGAAAGAGACCCTATCCTGCATTCCAACCCCCAACAGGAAAAGACCCTGTCCCATATGCAATCCCATTGGTTGACCATAGTTTTGTCCCACCTCCTGCCCACCTAAGCGAGTTCCCATTCTCTCTACCTTAGCCTCACATGGTTTTACACTATAAAAGTCCCTGGAAGAGAGCTTCCCGGGGAACTACCCGCTCGGGCCCCCCTCCTGTCCTTCTCTTGGACAGGAGCTTTCTTTCTCTCAATAAATATATTCTGCTCATAAAAATAAAAAAATAAAAGCAGCATATATAAGACATTACAAATTAATCTAGAAAAATAATAGTTGGATGCATTTTATTTCATCCTTGTGAAAATACATCATTGTCTTAGTGATCTAATAAGTAAAAAAAATAAAAAATTAAAAATCTTACCAGAGCTTTCCTATGTTTATAGATGAAATCTTCAGCTGATTTGGCCCATTTTGGGAGAATAACATCATTTACTAGTTCTTTGGAAACTTGTAGACGACCCAAGTTAAATTCTAAAACATGTAAAAGATAAATGTATCCTACCATTTTAGACTTAGATAAATGAAGCAAAACAAATGCAAATGAGGAGGGCATGTTACTTAAGCAGAATAGATTTTTTAAAAAATCTTACATACTGGAGTATAGTTTCTATGTTAATAAAAACCATATATGATAGCTTAAAATCAGTTACTTCAGAGTAAATCAGAACTTTTTTTTTTTTTTTTTTTTTTTTGTGGAGGAGAGACCTAGAACGACAATTCTTGCTTTAATCTAAATGAAAATTAATGCAGTGTTAGGTAGAATTTTTACACTGAAAATAAGTAATAGTGCCTCTAATGGTTCATTTATAAGATACAGCTCACTAGAGCTTTTTGTTGTAACTTAAACCTTAAACTTGCTCACAGGAAAAGCTGTTTTGTTTTCCAGGATTCAGAATTTGGAATATGGAACAATTAAATCTATCTATCTATCTATCTATCTATCTATCTATCTATCTATCCATCCATCCATCCATCCATCCATCCATCCATCCATCCATCCATCCCAGACTGGCTTCTAACTTATTATCCTCTGGCCTCTGACTTCTGAATAGCTGGGATTACAGGAGTGTGCCACTATACCTAGCTAAGAATAATATATACACTGCTATTCTAAGTAGATATTTTCATAATAAAGATTTGCTTATATTGTTAGAACATACCATTTTGATAAAACCTCCCCAAACAGGAAGTTTTCCTACTTATACTTATGAGAAGAAAAGTGTTAACACAAAAGCATTTTCAAAAGGAATATCTCAAAATACTAGTCTTAAAATAACTGTGTGCTGCCTTAAAAATACCAGTATGTCTCAAGTAGGAGGTTTAAATGTCATAGAGTATCATGATTAGCTTTATGTTTAGTGAATCATTGTACAGTGTATTGTCCACTGGATGGTCATCCCCTCTTTTTATTTGCTAAGAGAACCTTTATTTCATTTGAGTGTTTATGTCCTTATTTCATGCTCACTCAAGATGACTAGTCTGGGACCTACTCTGGAGAATGGGGAAAGGTGATGAGGAAGAGTGTCTCACTTTTGAGAAAGGACATGATAAATTAACATTTTCATTTCTAAAAAACTGTTTTAGCTACTATAGTCCTTTATAAAGTTCTTCATAAAACTGCTTTAGTCCTTTATAACCCTGAGAGAAATTAGCCATAGACAAAGCCAAAATATTTAGAATGTTGGGCTGGAGAGATGGCTCAGTGGTCTAAAGCACCTACTTAGAACAAGTTCAGCGAAGCACAGGGACCACGGTTCA